TAAAACTATAATAGTTTTGATAGAATTCATTGCTAAAAGGCATGCCAGGCACATTTTATTTCCTCCACCCAATAGTATAAAGCTATTTTTTTCAATATACTCATCATTTTTAATAAATCTTTCTAGATTAAACTTAAATATTATTATTTATTTATTTTAGTATGAATGTATTAATAAAAAATTCATTTGCATCGAAGATTTTTTATACAATTTATTTTCAAAATCGACCGATGTGTGTTCAATATTAAGAGTAGTTGAAGCAAATTCATACTCTTTTACACTATGATATGATCAATAAGTTTTTTGAACTAGGATGCTTAAAAATGGACACTTTTTAATAGATTAAATAGTCCCAAGATCTTCATAGGCATATTAAATATTGGAAATTCCAAATGTGTTTTTAGCATCATCAGAATCCCAGCCTGAAATATTATAAACACTTGCTACACCAGTTAAAGAAGTCTTTGGATATTTCTGAAGTTCCAAATAATATTCGACTTAATCAACAGTTAATTTTTGACCAAATTTGGCAAATGTTAGTTGATCTACATAATTAACTCCCTTAGAAGATTACTTCGGTATGTAACTGTAGATCATTTATGTGTTTGTAATTGATTGCTGTGAAATGTAACTTGATTTCTTGAATAAACTTGTATGAACTAAATGATCTTTTCTTGATTTAGAAAACGTGCTAACCATTTATACAGATTTGGATGAGATTTTTATAAACTAATTTTATTCTGTATAATACGTATATTGTAGTACGTAATGTATACTGTAATATGCAATACATATGCATATTTGCAAATATGCTAGGTTTTCTTGCAGTCTACTTAATGATTTAATAACGCTAAATATAACGAACTGAGTATTGTCTCAGCATTTTATTTAATATTCTTGCATTTTTTTACTGCTTCGGTGTGAATTCATATATATATTTCATTAAATATTCGCAGTTTTTATTTTTTTCGAATTGAATTTTTTACCGGGCAGATAGATCGATAATCATTGATCTGCAAAGACTTCAAAGAAGAGTTAAACGAAAGTATCAGCGAAACAGAGCACTGACAATAGAAGCCAATAAATTACGTAATTGCAATTACCAAATCTGTATAAGAGATAAACTGCTACGTACATACATGCATACGTAACCGTGTACAAGATCAAAAACTTATGTAAGCAGGAATGTAGATGCGTTAACATGCGCATACATTATGCACAACCGTGACTGTGCATAAATAAACTAAATTAATAAATTAAATGTTACTGTTTTATAACTTTAAACACCTGAATTACAAATGCTTAAAATCAAACAGGTAACCGATATATGCAAAAAGATTTATTTTAAGCACCTGAAATTGCATCTTCAAGTAAAAATCAATTTTAAGCATAACAAAATCAATGATAAAACTTTATTGCAAAAAAACAATTCAATAATAAATTGATAAAGAAAGGTAATTTTATGATAATAAGAAAAAAATAATAACCTATTGCGAAAAACAATTCAATAATAAATTGATAAAGAAAGATAGTTTCATGATAATAAAAAAAAATAATAACCTTTTCACATTTTAAATATAAATAATCTTATCAAAATACCAAAATATGTAAACTCAGTACATTTACTCCTCACCATCATTGCTCACGATACTTGTAATATTTGTGTCAGGTTTGGTACTGCATGTTTTCCTTGAATTACGTGTACTGCGCCCTTTATTTTTATTTCTTTTTTCTTTTCCACGATTATGAACTTTCTTCACAGAACTAGAATTACCCACTTTTTCATCTTTATTATTGTTAATCATTTGTTTTATAGCATTTTCCTCTTCGTCAAGTCTATTCAATTCTTCGCAATAATCTTCAGATGTGTTTTGATCTACTTGTGGTTCATCTCTAGTACAACTAATATCTGCAAGTTCTAAATCACTAATTCCTAGTAAATCTCTAGCAATTTCACTCACCTTTCCTGTTCTAACATGCTTCAAAGATCTATGATCAGGTGCTGATACACCTGATTGATTTAAATTACTTTTATTCTGATTAACCGGTTTAGTTAAATTCAAAGATTCTGAACTTTCCTCGATTTCTCCAGTAATATTACGATGGGTAGCTAAAAGCTTAAAGCAAATTAACTTAGAAGATGATGCCGATAACTGTGAATTAATGACTTCAGGTAACTGCTTCTTAGTCATATCAACATAATTAATGTCTCTTGCGTAAACATACAACTCACTTTGAATGATTTCCATTTTGCCAACAACAAATAGCATTGATTCTTTCAGACGAATAGAATTTTTGAAATGCTTAAATCGTGAATTGAAACATGGATAAGTAATATTGACTACAAAATTGTATTTCTGAATAGCATAATCGTTGACTAAAATTTTAACAACAGCATTTTCATCATTTTTAGCTTCTTGAGGTTTACTCTGCGCAATACCGATTAGAGAAACCTTTAATGAACAATTATTTGAATTGGGTTCTTTATTAATATTAAGATATGTTGAACTTGCGACCTCATCTAAATACATTAATAAAATAAATAACTGTTATGCAATTTAACATTAAATTATAAATAGTACCTTCAGCCTTTTAATATTACGATAATGTTCAGGTACAATCTTTCTGCCAATAATATAATATTTATTCTTTTCAAATATTGCTTGGCTATCAGTATCTCTTTCATCTGGATTAATAGGCACAAACATAACTAACTCGATATCATTATCTTCCTGTTCTATGGGATATGTGCCAATAGCCCATACAACAATAGAATTAATGTTTTCTCTCATAGACTGTCGAACTTGATTAATCTTTACGACGGTATTTCCATAACACGGCATATTTTAACAATAATTTTATGAAAAGCAATAAATTATCATGTATTTTGTGAAAATCTGACTTATTTATTTCTTTTCTTAAATTATTATTTTAAAATGTAAATCAAGAAACTCTAATCGCTTGAATATTTATTTAGAAAGTTATATCGTTATTCGATAAACCTGTTAACAAAATAACAAGACAATCATTACTGTGAAATCAAAAGGCTTCATTGTGAATCATATGTTAAATGAATGTCTAAATGTATCATAAAATCATCTTCAAAATCTTGTCAAACACAAGTATTTTGGAAATAAATTTATGATCACATATGATCACTTTAACCTAATCAATTTTCTGAATGCTATTAACTCAAAAAAATATCATTAAGATTCGTATTTATATAACCAATTTCTGCTTACTATGTTCAATACATTACAGCTTTAAAGCTGATTTCACATGTAACTCAAACCTCTAATATGCAAACGATTTTCTCCATAAACTTCTTAAATCATCTTTAAAAAAAATATATATGTGTAAAATATGAATACCTGTACATATATAATATGTGCACATGTATGTGCATTAAATATATAGTAATTAAATCTAATTTTACTTACTAGTAATAACAACAATATTGATAAGCTTTCAATATAAATTAGCTATATTATAACAAAATGTGAACCTTCTTTGATTATTACAATGACAACTTATACCATTTACCATTATAACACAAATAATTTCACCGATGCTAATTACGATGATTTAATCAATGACCATCACGATCAACTTATAGATTCTGAAAATACTTCTCAAGATATTATGTTTTGGAGACCAAATCAAAACTTAATAACACTTAAAAATCATTTGCATGAAGTAATTTTTTACGATTTCTCTGGTGTTGCATGCGCTTATTGTTCTATTTTAATGCTTACTTCAGAAATTTTATGGGAATTATTTGATGAAAATTTTGAATATTCATTAACTCTAAAATTTCCAAATCAAAACTTATATTTCCATCCTAATTCGAATGTACAGAAGATAGCTATATGCAATTCATGCAAACGCAAGCAAACCAAACTATTGCCACCAAATTTATCACCAATTCCTAATGAAATTGCAACAGTTCTGATGTACAACCGCCAATTTCTATCACTCCTACATTTATATTGCTCACTGGGAAGACACGCTGGAAGCAATTTATACATAAATTATAGATATCTTAAAAGCTCTTTTGGGTACTTGTGTAATATTCGCGCATTAGCTTTATATTCTGGAGAACTTGGCGCATTTTTTCACAACATGAATCCTACACCAAACTGATATCACCTGACACTTTCCAATGCAGTTAATTGGCTAAAATGAAACAACCCATACTTACAACATTTTAAACCAAGTTGGTCAATTATAAGTGATACTGAAAATACAGTTTTTTCCTTAGCACACCAACAATATATTGATACCAATCATACTGAACACACACGAAACTTAAGAGATATTGTAGTTCCAAACTATAATTTTGATACAGAAACACATAACGAAGACTTCAATTACCAACGTTTGATGGTAGGCTTTGTACAACTATTAGATTCAAATATGTGTATTCCAATCTCGATTAGAAGTAACCATCTCGAACCATTACTATTCCCAGACTTATTTCCTTACGGATCAGGCTTTTTAATCAACAAAATAAAAAAATAACTTACGGAAAATACATCAAGCGTAACTTACTATGCCCAGATCCAAGATTTCATTTACATTGGTTTTGGCCAGGTTGGTCATATATGTGCCTAGAAAAATTACGCATCCATCAAAATACACAAAGACTTGCCCATAAACAAGATTTTGACCGTACATTTAGGCTATCAACTGCGGGGGAATTACTAAATTACAGTACATATAACTCAGAATTAATAATAAATGAATCCTTAACAACTACCTTACCAAGTTTCTTATGTACTGAAGATACTTACTTTTATCAAAAAAGGCTTGACTTAAACTTTATGTCAAGTAATTTAGGTCTTCCCCAGTTATTTTATACAATGACAATGGCGGAAAGTGATTGGCACCACTTATATATAATATTATCAAAAACTGATAATGGCAACACAATATCTTCAAATTGCCCTTTATACACCCTATTACATTATTATCACCGCCTAAACTCTATTCAGAATAACCTCTGGAAAAAAAACTCAAACTTATGTAAATGGTCAAAATGGATACATCATTTTGAACGAGATGAATTCCAGAATCGTGGTGCAATTCATACTCACGGAGTCACATGGGTAGAAACAAGTATTTCTGAAATGATAAGTAAAAATTTAATCCGTGCAGATTTAACTGACTCTAATTATGAATTAGAGCTGTATAATTTAGTCATTAAATATCAAGTACACTTTTGTTCTATACATCTGTGTGGAGGGCCTACAACAGTTGGTGAACGTTGTTATAAAGGATTCTCAGCTGCACTTTTTACAACTACTCAAAAAGATAAAAATTCACTCCGTTATATATAGCGTCGAATTAAAGAGGAAGATAGATGGATTGTTCCATACTATTCTGAAACATTGATGATTTGGCAAGCCCACATAAACTTTCAATATGTTACAACAAAGCACTATACTAAATACATAACTAAATACATCACTAAAAGTGAACTCTCTGACATTTTTCAAATCACAGATCAAGACTCCTACCAAAAATATGTTATTGCAAGACGTCTCAGCTCTATAGAACAAATGGCACTTCTTCTAGATAAAGATATATCTCACAGCAGTATTGATGTTCTCTATCTACCTACAAATCTACCTGAAACAAGATCTCATGCAGTCTTACCAATTTCTATGATTAAAGACAATGAAAATAGTCCATATTGGACTGATATGATCGAAAAATACTTTGCCCGACCCATAAACCCTGAATTTAATCAACTAAACTATTCTGACTACTGGAAATACTACAAAGTAACACATACACAAAAAAATATCTCATTAAACAAACCAAACCTATTCATAGACCAAAATTGGCACGTAGTTACAAAACATAAACATCCAATTTTAATCAGAACCACATATCTAACAATTGAAAATGGTGAAGAATTCTTTTACCAAAAATTACTTCTAAACCTTCCATTTCGCTCAGAAAATGAAATAAAAAGAAACTATTTAACCTATCGTGAACATTTTATGAATCATTTTGCAAATCAATACCAGCTAATTCAACAACTTAAAAATCAACAACATTCAATCCACTCTTTACAAATGATAAATGCCTATGAAGAAATGGTTACAAATCTAACTCATTCAATTCCCCAAAACGAAATTGCAAATCTATATAATACTCAACTTTTAAATCTACAAAAATTCCCTATTAATATCTCAAAAACTGCACCGTTCAATTTACCACACAATCAATACATAGTCTTAAACAAACTATCATCAACATTAGGACCACAAAATGCATATAAATGGCCCTACTTCTTTATTACCAGTCCAGCGGGGACAGAAAAATCTTATATCATAAACTTATTTATCAACAAACTTCGCAACAAAAATGTTAAATACCTATTACTCGCTCCAACAGGAGTAGCCGCTGATAATATTGGTGGTAAAACAATATACTCTGCACTTAATATTACACACTCTGACATATTACAAACATCAATATTCCAATCAAATGAAACATTAAAGAACCACAAAAAATCTAAACAATAATAATAGATGAAATATCAATGGTCTCTAATACACTATTTACCTTTATATCAGATACCTTTGCTCACATGCATAAAAATGCCTTACCATTTGGTGGTATTAACGTTATAGTTTCAGGTGACTTAGCACAAATTCAACCAGTAAACGGAATGCCAGTATTTCTATTACCCGTATGGAAACTCTTTTATTCATTATTTTTAAGTACGCCTCACCAACAACACCAAGATCCACAATTCTTTAGCATTCTCCAAGAAATTCGCATTGGGAAAATCTCAAATCTCTCGTAGAAAACTTTACAACAAAAACTTACAGAAACCCGCACTAATTATAACTAAATACGACAAATATAGTTGGCCATCGTCAATTCACTAATAATATCAATGAAATTATCTGCAGTTTCATTCCAACTACAGACACTGAAATAGACTCTCTGACAGTCGATACC